TCCGTTCCGAGCCCAGCCACCTTCAGTTCTGTGCCCTGCTAAAAGCGCATCATGGCTCCGTTTAAATGCTTTTCGGCTAGTGTGTTTCTGTGGTATAGCGGACTGAAGAATAGTAAACGTGTTTTGCAATATATGTATGAAGCTATTTTGTATAATTAGTATGTTCCCATTCCGCTTTTGCTCTGGTGTAGCCCTGAGGTTGATTGCTCATTTATTTTTACCCTTCCTCTCTCCATACTTCTGCCCCCCCCCCCCCTCTCTCTCTCTCACTCCTTCTGTCGTCCACATGTATCAAAGGAGGCCAAATCGCCTGTTTGTGGTGCGACGTTAAATAAACGTCTACAACAACAACAAGCAGTGTACGCGACTCCGCGCATCAGACGTGAATACAACGTGAGGAATGAAAGCAGTACAGTGTACGCAACTACGCGCATCAGACGTCAGCTGACGTGAATACAACATGAGGAACGAATGCGTAGTAGTATGATAATGCACAACAGTACAACAAGCAGTGCTGATAGACACATAAAATGGAGTGGCTCTGCACCATTATCGGTGGGCTGGATATAGACTGTACAGGCACTATTGGGAAAGGTTTGATAATGAACAGTGCTGTGGGGAGATAATATTCATACATGCATGAACTATGGAGAGAGAGAAAAAAAGGGCTGAGGAAACATCAGAAACAAACACAAAACTGGTACAGCAATATCATGATACGTGACAACTGTAAAACATTGCACATACACCAAGCAGAACATGTGCATGTATATGTATTGTATGAACTCGGATGGAGAGTCAAGGATTATTTATACAAAGCACAAAGGACCAAGAAACTACAAATTACAATAATTATAATGTCCACTAAAACCACCAGTTACTAAAAAATCAGCTCATGTGATAAAATCGGACGACACTGACCGTCGGTACTGACGTTCTACAACTAACTGGCTAGCAATGTTATCGCATGAGCTGATTGTTTAGTAACTGATGGTGTTAGTGGACACTCTAGTGTAACTTGTAGTTTCTTGGTCCTTTTTACACTTTATAAATATGTACATGTGGATATGTACATGTGAATATGTACATGTGCACATAATTGCAGGTGATGGCAACAGCAGTGTATGGAAGTAGAAAAAGAATTCACTATCCGGGAGAAGCAAGTACTGGACCAGTTATTTGTACCAGGAATGCCTTTACAGGAGGTTCTATCCTGCGTTGTCGTTTATTCTCGGGCCCATGTCCCGAATTTTTATTGCTTTGCGTATCCTCCTCCTGGCCCGAAGCGACTCGATTGCAAGGACGCGAACCTTCGTAAATACTGAGTCACCAAATGGCAGTACCTCACTGCTTTGGTGAAGCCGAAAGGGCTCCCGAAGGGATTATCCCGACATCTTATTCGGGGGGGGGGGGGGTAATTATGTTCCTTGGCATTGTGTTGAGGTTCTACATTAAGAAACTTTTTCAAAGTTTGTCTCTGTGTCCCTCCCCTTGTTGTTTCCCCAATACAAATTATCTTCAATATTCTCACCTCTCCCTACTCCAGGATCAAGAAACTCCATTGCACCAAGCCTGTGGCAACGGCACGGCGGAGGTTATAGAATTTCTGCTTCAAAAGGGTTCAGATCTTTTTGCCTTGAGAAAGGTAAGTCGCACTTTTAGTTAAATTGGCAGCGTCGAGATAATCATCGTAATATGCCGATGAATACAATCAAGTGCGCATTCATATCACAAACATTGCAACCAAAGAAGTTTTAACTCTTGTCACAATCATGAGTGAAGGTTCGTGACTAAAGGAAAATGGGAAACAACCTAAGGTTATATATATTGAGAAAAGAGAAAATGAATGTGTCAATACGCCAATAAGAATTATTGGATAAGAACGACAATGCTTGCGATGTGTGAGATAGGTACATGGTGAGTATTGTGCAAAGTTAGGAAGTCAGTTGTATGTGAGACAATGTGTTGATAACAGTGACTCAATTTTAACCTTGGGTGGTGAACCAATAATATTCATGTAAAAGAGGAAGGACCAACACATTACGAGTTTTGACAACGACCCACCAATGCAACGAGATAATACATAGTCAGATAGTGCGACAACAAGGCACAAATCTGCCCGGGGTACTGGGACATTGAACGACTTGACACCTAGCTCCAACGAATCTACGAAGCTAAAAACACCAACCTTCTCAAATAACTTGGAAGGCTCACGTGCGGAAAGGTCCAATGAGGGGGAAAACGCAACAAAGATGTGCACGAGGTATGTCCATCGGGAACAAAGATAACAGGATAATAAGGAGATTGGTAAGACCATTGTGCAAACCGGTCTAACTACAACTTAACAACGCGAATCAACCAATGACGAATTACATTGTTTTCTCTGACCAATACCATACTTGAAGTATGCATTTTAAAAAAATTGTACAATTTTCTGATCACAAGACATAGTTTGGCTCCACTATTATAATGTGCTAATGGGAGTTGTGATAATTCTCAGAATGGGCGTTAGTCATTAGTTTCTTGAATCTGCAAAGTATTCAAAATCAACTGCTGTTCTGGTTTACAGAGCTATCTGCAATGTTTATCAAGAGGTCTGTTTTACTTTCTTGTTGATTGACCCTTGTTCATTCTACCAGGACAACAGTACATGCCTGGACTCTGCAATAGCAAGTGATGCCTGCGAGAACGCTGAGCCTGCGGCTAGACTACGGGCCATTATCCGCCATCTTGAGAGCAAGTATCCAGAGGAGCAGGAGAAGGTAAGCGCAACTTAGAAGAAAAGAAAATACATCAAAATGAATTTCCCATTCGAAAAATTGGGTAACCAATGAGGTAACAATATCACTCTATTCCCTCTAGACACTCACACATTGTCTCCCTGCTGCAAACACCGCTTTTGATCCACCAAAATATTCAGGGTTGGCTCAGTATCAGGTTACTGGTTCAAACTAATGATGGGTTATGCCCAAACATTTAGTGACCCAAAAGTGACGTTCGCAGCAGAAACGTCCCTGTGTGGGTGTTTGGAATGAGTACAATAATGTATGAATGGCTGCAATGCAGTTTACTAAGACTGCGGAAATGATGCAATAGTTGCAAATATTAATATCAATGAGTACACTCAAATGTCTCTTACCCGAACGCCTCAGGTACTGGCACGCCTCTCTACCGGGCACCATTAGCTTGAGTTCCTATGGCAAAACTGCTTCCAATTTGGGGGTTTGAATTATTTTTCGTGTACACTAGTGTCAGTTTATCACTGCCCACCTGTGTAATTCACTCATTTTCATCAAGACAATTTTATCCTGAATACGCGTAATATGTGCCAAAAACACGTCTTCAAAATGTGGTATAATACATGGTAGACGAGCTGTCCTGAGATAACGGCAAACCTGAGATACGGGCAGTGACGTTCGTTCTGATACTGAATCACTCACTCCAGCAATAATATTTGAGCTGCACCATGGCAAAAGTGTGCTTATGGCAAAATGGTCACGAACTGAATTATGGATTCAGCCCAATGGATGAATTCTCACTGCTTCTGGTGCAGAAAAACCGCAATCAAAAAGCTTGATAAATCGCAAGGAAAACTAATCGAATTCAAAAAGCAAATGTGCACTCTCTTTATTTTATACTCAACTTTCAACGAGTTTTTCTCAGTTTGATGTCGCGTGCCATAGGCACCCTTTTGTCGTGTCGTGGCTCATTTAATAACTAGAAGAGAGCATATCTGAGAAAACAAGAAAATTTGAGCAAGTTGATATATCCAATTTCGCTCAAATTTTGCAGGTAAGTTTCCTTTGGGGTGTAGATCGACTGTGCAAGTCCCGTGCCCCATGACGCCAGAATACCAGGTCTCGTAGATCACGGTTCATCAGTTATTCTGAGTCTCTTGATCAAGTGTACGTGCACTTACAAGGATCGCCTGTTGATATTTAGATTGGATCAAGTGCATTTTGATGCCCAGCTTAAGAGCACGCTGGTCGCGTTGTAGGCCTTCCAACCGGGACTTTCCCTCAACATGCAGCACAGAGACTAGGGTGAGTAGGGTTCAAATCGCGTTTTTCATGACGTAAGAAATCTGTGATGTGGGCACGCCACATACCATGTGGAACCAGTGTAGCCTGTGCTGGTCAACTCCAAGCGACCTTCATGGCACGCTCGACGGTGCATTTCTTGCTGTTGCAGATCTACATCAAGCATCAGCATGTAAACTAGCCACGGTTTCTGTTGTGCCAGGTTCGAGGTGTGCGAGGTTGGTGTGAAATAGGCGTACTTGTTCTTACTGCAAGAGGACATATCTTAAAGAAGTCTTGCCAATGCAATACTGCTAGTGCTGTAACGATAGTGTCTGCGGGTTCTGAGCAGAGCATGCAGGAAATATGATGCGTCTTACCTCCTCCATTATGGTCCGTGACAATTTATCACCGCTACTTTTCCTTGTCAGAGTCAACAATACACTTCGTTTTGCAGCTGGTCTGCAAAGCTGAAGTGACACACCGTAATGTTAAACCAGCACGTGTGTACTTCGGAGTGACAGAGCCTACGTTCAAGACCCGGTACTGAAACCACAAGGACACATTCAACAATGAGCAGAGACGGAAGAGCACCGAACTTACCAAGTATGTCTGGAAATTGACGGAGAGACAGGAAGACTACTCGATCCAGTGGAGTGTTTCAAAACGAGCACAAGACTACAGCAACATCAGCAAGAGGTGCCAACTTCGCCTTTCGGAGAAGTTCCGATCATAACCGCGGATAGAGAAACATGCCTCAACAAGAGAAGCGAGCTCATCTCGAGGTCTAGACATGCCAGCAAATTCTCGCTCGCAAACTACACTGGTATCACTGGATGAGATATGCGGTGTTTTCACACACACACACACACGCACGCACGCGCACGCACGCACGCACGCGCACGCACGCACGCACGCACGCATGCACGCACACACAAACACACCTTTGACCTTTGACGCCCGTCGCGTAGCGATGATGGCTCAGACGCGGCAGTGGGGGGCGTGCCTCTTCAGGTCCCCAATGCGGCCAAAGGAACGGCCACATGCGCAACGGAACTCTTTCGGTCCGGGTGGAGGAGGCTGCTGACGACACAACCGCCTCCAGGTTGGGCGATCCTGGGCTTGACGGATCCATTCTCCCTCCCCGATCTGGGCCGCAGCTAGATCAGTGACAACAACGTCACGCCATCGCTTCTTCGGACCGTGGCGGGGGCGAGTGGCATATAACTCGCCAAATACCATCTGCTGCGGAGTGCGGAGTTCCTCCATACGGGCAATGTGCCCCAGCCAGCGCAGACGATGCTGTCGGAGCAAATCGGAGATGTCAAGAGACATGCCAAATCGCCTGCCCAATTCTACCGATGTGAGCCTGTCCTCCCACTGCTGGATCCGCGATACACCGAGGATAGACCGAATACAGGAGCGATGGACGACGGTCAGCCGATGGACGTAGGTAACCTTCACAGCCCATGTCTCTGCACCGTAGAACAGAGTGCTCAGGACAAAAGCGCGATATACCATGCACTTAATGCCGATGGATAAACCCCGGCACCGGAAAATCGGGGTCAGGAGGCAACCAAACACACGAGATGCCTTGGCCAAGCGGGAGGTGATCTCCACGTCCAGTGACCCATCGCAACTCACCACACTACCGAGGTACCGTATTTTCCGGGGTATAAGCCGCACCGGGGTATAAGCCGCACCCCCCTTTTTGAGGCAAAATATTGACTAAAAGTTGGTATTCGGAGTATAAGCCGCACCCACAAACCAAGATTTTTCACACTCATTGACAAATGGCCTTTCTACAAATTTATTATGGTTATGGAGCTAATTACCATGTTAGATCAGATTATGAAGTGTTAGTGCACCACAGGTTGCTGCAGAGATGTTGGTGTATTGCTGTGTTGACTACAGATCACTCCATGTCATCTGCACTATCTCTTGCAGTACGCAAAATAGAGTCCCTGTATACGCGTACCGTATGGTGTAGCCCGCACACTAAAACTAGTAAAAGTGCCGGGATAGCAACACAGGCGCGAAGCTGAGTCGAATGACATGTCACATGACGTCAGCATGCATACTGATGTATGCTAAGCATTCATTCGCGCAAGCATATTCGGTGTATAAGCCGCAGGGGCGATTTTGGCCCGATTTTTAGCGAAAAAAAGTGCGGCTTAATAAAAAAATATAATAAATTTCACGGTTCGCGTGAGACTCGGCTGGAAGCCGAGTTTTCCGCATCCGCCGTGGGAACGCCACCACCCTCTAGGATCAAGGCGCAGATGCAGCTCCTTAACGGTGGGAGGTGAGTAGATCAGACCCACCACCAAGTGGTCAAAGACCGAAATCCCATTAGCTGCATCCATGTTACCCTCGTGCCAGGCCACGAGTTCCCAATTAAGGAGGTTCGCGACGGTTAGCGCCATGTTGGATTTCCGAATTTTTTCTGAAAAATAATGCCTTTCGGAGTGGAAAAATGGGACGCGATCTTGCACAGAAAATAGTTTGACCATGACTTCGCAGTGCTCGAGTCGAGACAAGATTTGAGGAAGAAGCTCAGCCACTAGTGGACTTGCGGATTTGTTTTGACATTGGCGGTTTTTGGATAGCTCGGTTCTCCTGCCGACGTGTCCTGGAGATGAAGACGCGGGAGAGTAATCCGTCACCCACGACGCGGCCTCTCATTCTGCGTACTGGACGATGCAAAAAGCCGAGGAGGGGGACGCTTCGCAAACTCAAACGATCGATCGGGTTCCTGAAAAACGGAAAGGGCGATCTCCATCACTAACGCCACTGGATTCGACTCCCGCGAAGAGGTCGTTCAGTGCCCCTCTTCACGGTCGACGAATCGTTCATCTCAGGTATCTGGCTGTGGGATTGTCTGCGTGCCAGAATCCTGGCTGTGGCAAACCTCTGGCGCTCATTGATTGCGTTGAAGAGAAGAGGTACGACCCGGGCAGCGTACTTGTCATTCCGTGTCAGCAGTGTGGGATGGAGAATTTTATAGATACAGATAGCCCTGTAACTGCTTAACACCCTGGCCCCCGTGCTTCCACAAGCAACACCAAAGCTGCTTTGGGTAAGTGCGTTTTTCAATCTCATAAGATTTACTCATGATATTTGGGAGTCATTGCCACCCTATGGCTATGGAAATGTATGAGCACACTGTATGCGCGGCGGTCGCGAGCGTCTGTGTGTTTGCATAGACCTGCATGTTTGTGCATGTGTGCACCATACGCATGTATGAACATGCACATGCATATGCGCTCATGTGGACGTGCCCTCGCACACATACTATACACACCTGCATGACCGCTCCCAGGGCATGTTGGTGTTACATGTGTATGCGGGCATCTCCACTCATGCGCATGAGTGTGCACATGCATGTGGGTGGGTACGCACACGTGCGTGAATGTATGTGTGTGTGTACGCGCGCGTGTGTTCTATTGCGTGTGAGAGCATGCATGTGTGTGTGTGTGTGCATGTGCGTGTGTGTGTGCGTGTGTGTGTGTGTGTGTATGTGTGCACGGATGTGTGTGTCGATGGTGTGCATTTTTGTGATTGGTGAACACTCTGATCCCTAAACCGCGATACCGGAGCTCCCGAGCTACAGCCTCAGATTGATTTATAGTTCATCGTTGGGAATGAGTTCGTTGCTCATGATGCTGTTGCGGATGTTGCGGCCCTAGCTAAAATTGTCGAAGCTCGCCCTGATGCCAGTATCCTGTAGCACTCTGTCACTTTTGCATCAGCATGTTCGGCGATGGAGTTTGCAGAACATCAGCAAAAGCGGCTGGCCACCCTTCAACCGTTGGTTCAAGCAACGTGCTTCTCTAAATCAGTTGCAGTGCGGGCAGCTGCCAGTGGGTTGGTGATGAAGCACTTTGTCTTGTCCTACAAACGAAGTGGTGAGCCAGCCATTTCCAGACTGATGAAGGAGCAAGTCGGAGGTAAGAAGCGGGTGACAGTCTCAAGGAAGATTATATTAGTGGTGGCTGAACACCTAGCGAAGAACCAGCAGCAACCCAACTATAACGAACGCCCTGTGGCACAGTGTTTCACTTGTTTGTGCGCACCGTAAAATACCATCATTTTTGCCAGTGTGGGGACACGTTCTAGCTCGCATAGTTGAAGAACAAGAGGACTCAATGTTGTCTGATTCGTTCCAACATGTCAGCTTTCATTGTAGTTTGATATGGGGCAGTGCTAAGCGCTATCATAGCTACATGTACATGTATCACAACCAAGTACCAACAGGAGAGTAATCATGGAGAAAGGTACCTATCGATAATGCGTGCACCCAGGGTTTTCCGGCAAATTTACTAGTTCAGCTATTCCATTCTTGTATTGTTCTGAACGCCGAGGGCTCTAGTGAGTTTATGCAACACCTAACAGCCAAAAATCCAATAAGTTATGAACAAAGCAGCAGCAGAGAAGTACAAGCAATATAGATACGTGAATTTACCAATTTTAGGCAAATTTTGACAGTTTTTTGGATTTTTCTCCAGAATATGCACGGTGACCCCTATTTTCGCCGCGGTAAACCTGTTCCAACCCACTTATAGAACGTGTTTGAAGTATCCACATATGGGGCAAACTCAAAAATAAGCTGCAAAAAATATTCAAAGTTTCATTTTTTGCGTCTTTTTGTTCTTCTCCAGGAAATGACGACCTGGATCCCATTGTCAACTAAAGTGTACATTTTTCGGTGTTGATATCATCTTAGTCAATACCTTGAACAGTCTGTCAAATTTTATGTCATATTTTTCGTCCTAACTGATGTTATGGACGATTTCTCATCAATTTTGGGATTTTGTGTTATTTTGTGTCATCAAGGAAAATTGTGTTTTTGGCAAGACCTATTCGGGCAATTGAAAAACTGATGTTACTAAGCGAAAATATAAGGCTGTACCTATTCAAACCTGATGTCAGATTGGGCTGATGTTGAAATTAATTTTTTGGGGCTAACTGTCCCGAACCTCCTTAACTGTGGGTCGCAGCACGGCTGGAAAAATTCCTTCCGCTTCCAAGCAGGACTTGAACCTGGTACCCTCTGTTTCTCAATCATGGTCTTAGACCATCCCACTATGCCTACCTGTGGGAAGTGCGGCTTATACCCCGGAAAATACGGTAAGTAAAGCCGGAGACCATCTCCACAACCCCACCATCATCGAGGACGACCTCAGGTTGTAGGTCCCCCAGGCCGACTGCTATGGCCTTTGTCTTGGCGATGCTGACAGTGAGACCCCACTGAGAGGCACAGGCGATGAACTCGTTTGCCAGGGTCTCCAGATGTTCTCTTGATGTGGTGTATACAGCGGCATCATCAGCGAACTGGGACTCGGTAACTTGGTACGTGTTCAGTCGCGCCTTGGTTGTTCGATCCCCAACAAGCTTCCGCCAGGGCGTGAGCGCAGGGACACGCCGGGAACAGAAGAGCGGCAATGCCAAGACATTACGGCAGCAAAATACAGATTGAATAGGGTGGGGGCAAGAGTACAGCCTTGGCGAAGACCATTGTTAATTATGTCCTCCGTCAGGCGACCAGATATACAAACCCGAGCCCTCATGCCGATATGTAGGGACCAAATCAAGCTGAGAAGGGTAGGTGGAATACCGAGCTTCCCGAGGACAAGCCACAACGCCTCACGGGGTATGCTGTCATAAGCCTTCTTCAGGTCGACAAATATGACATACAGTGGCGTATCATGTTCGATGGCCTTCTCGATTAGCTGGCGCGCCACAAACACCATGTCGACGCACCCACGTCCCTTCCTAAAACCGCACTGTGACTCAGGCAGCACATCTTTGGACAGTTCCTGAAGGCGATCCTGGATAACCCGTGCAAACATCTTACCAACTACATCCAACAGGCTGACGCCTCGCCAATTGTCACATGACCGTAGGTCGCCCTTCTTCGGTATGGGTACAATCTCAGCGTCACGCCACTCAGAAACAACGGAGCCACCTGCCCAAATCTGGGAAATCAGAGAATGAATACGCCGGTGGAGAGCAAGACCGCCACCCAGCACCAATTCCGGCACAATACCTGAAGAGCCACCAGCCGTGCCCCTACTCATCCTCCGCATTGCAGCCATCACCTCCTCAAATGTCGGGGCCATGTCAAGTTCATGACGCGGCTCAGCAGTAGGCATGTTATCAATGACATGCATACTAAACTGACTAGCAATGTTGAGCACTCTGTCAAAGTGTGCATGCCAACGCGTAACAAGACTTTCCGGGCTGTCAGTAAGGTGTCCGTCTCCATCATAAACCGCCGAGTGTGTGACCGTACGCCTGCCATCATCCACTCGCTGTAATTTTCGGATGCATTTCCACATCACACAGCCATCCCTTTGAGCACGCTCAGCATCACCGACCACCTCACGGATCCATTGTTCCTTTGCACCACGCACCGCCTTCGCAACCGACCGCTGGGCTGATCTTAATCCGGAACGTGTTGTTTGATTGCCTGCCGACAACATCCTTTCATAGGCACGTCGCTTCGCCTCAATAAGTGGCTCCAATGCTGCCCTATTCTCCAGAAACCAGTCTGGTTGTCGCCGCCGACCATGGCCCAGTGTTCTCTCCGCTACGCTGGTGATGTCATCACGAAGGGACTTCCAGGTCTCTTCAACACTCTGGCCACCACCGGCCACGCCACCACAGGCTGCCTCCATTGACTCTCGGTACTGCAGCAACGTATCAGGCTCACGTAGGCGATGGGTGGCATACGACCTCCGCTTAGGGACAGTGGATCTACGTTGGACGAAGTCCAGGACAAGCTTCGCCCGAACCATGTAGTGGTCAGTCCAGCACAGTGCGCCGCGGACAACACCAACGTCCCTACAGTAGCAGCAATGAGCCGTACGCATGATGACATAATCAATGAGATGCACTTGCCGAGTGGCTGGATGAGTCCATGTTCCACGCTTACTTCGTCTCTTCTTGTACCATGTATTCATTACTGACAATTGATTAGCTGCAGAGAATGACAACAGCTCCTCACCAGCCTGATTGCAATTTCCAAGGCCAAATTGGCCCAAGACACAACCCCACATCCGCTCATCCCCTGGCATGCCATCGATACGACTCACAGCGCTGTCTGCATAGTCAGTGCTGGACCCGACGCGCGCGTTCAAATCTCCAAGCAGCACAAGAACATCTCTGGATGGGATACTGTCCACAACTCGTTGCAAGTCATCGAAAAACTTGCGTCTTACGTTCGGTGGGGCTTTACTCGTTGGAGTATAAACATTGACGATAGAGACACAGAAATCTGCGTGTCACTTACCTCCACCAGGGAGTTTATCACCTCGCTTGGCGACAAGAAGACGAGCAGTGACAATACGCGAACTGACGGCGCTCCACTGCTCCCCTCCGCTCTTCCACATCCCGGTCACGGCGGAATTCATCAAAATTCCAACTCCCTCGTTCCGGCGGCCGGGCTCATTCTCCAAAGACAAAGGCCTCCCAGAGTGCAACAACGTACCGCTCCCAGCAGGCCAGACGTCGCTTTCAAACCATTTGGTCTCCTGAATACCAGCAACGTCCACGCCGAATCTGCCGAGTTCCTCCACAAGAAAATCCAGTTTCCTGTCAACGGCGGTATCCGAGACATTTCTATTTTTAATGCATTTTTTGGCATAACCAGCGTCCTCCACCAAGGACCGAACGTTCCATGTCGCAGTGACCAGTGTCCTCTTCGCCTTCGTCTTCCCCGTCCTCCTCGTTGTGACCATAATTCATTCAAATAATTCAAAAAACTACAAATTCCCCAAACCACTTCGTCTGACTAGTGCAATGCGTACAACAAACCTCCCGACAGCTCGCAAGGCTGTCAGGACGGGCCACAGCAGCCAAGGCCTGGTCTCCACCATACGGCACTTGGCTGCCAAGTGTGGCTAATCCATCATTGAGACAGAGCTCAAAAAAAGCAAACTGCCTCCTCCAACAACAAGCACACACACACAAACACACACACACACACACTATCTATCTCTCTCATGCACACACATGTTCACCTTCACTCTTTCACACTCACACCAAACCACATTTTTGCGCCATTAGCCACACTGCTATCTGCAATGTAACACATACTACCCAGCCCTTTGGCGTGACACACCTACCACTGAAACATACTTAATTCCTGCATCGGTTCTACATGTATCTCCCATCTTGCTTATAGCAATATACCTCAGCCATGACACTTGCACTCATATTACGCACAGTGTATTCCAGCGCTAATGTTATCTCCTCAAGCTTCGTGGTTGCAGCACTGCCTTAGCCTACATTACAATTACCCTATAATAACACAATCCCTTGACCTGATGTTGGCGATGCCACTCTGCTCACGCCTGCCCGTCACCAAACGACTCCCTACTTGTAGCGATCTCACTGGCCGATTGCCCGCCACCCTCCTGGCACCTCCACCCATCTGCTGTACACTGCCTACCCATCGCCTCTTTCCGCGCTTTCATGCTCACACCTGCCTGTTGCCCGCCACCCTCCTGGCACTTCCACTGTCGCGCCTTGGCCCGCGCCAGCTTTCTCCCCCTACCTCACACCAGATTTAGCGCTAAATTTGTTTATGCTTGTGGCCCTATGTGTTTATAAGCATACTGTTGGGTAGACCCGAGTATCAGTTGTCTGATGATTGCTTAGCGGCATGAAACTCAGAGTTAAAACCAACCTGAACGTCCTCCGCTAAGTCTGCTACATTAAAATTACCCTATATAACTAGCAAATAGCATTATTATGTTTTATCGTGTGATGAGTGTTTTTTGAAACACGAAACTCGGAGTTACGAGAAAGGTTTTTGGTCTCTGTTGTTCTGCCTCTTGTGGTAAGCTCTGCCCTTGTTGAGGTATTGAGCATTATTTGCAGCAAAGACCCTAGACACTTTGTTGTATGTACTACGTATACACGTATATTAAAGGGGAACTACACCCAAAAATCAAAACTTCATGGTCCGTAGAGTTTTGGACGCTGAGTCGAATGGTGAAGGTCCCACTTCGATCCGACCAAGCGTTCTTGAGATATATCAGTTTGCAATTGTCCTTTTCGGGTCCGTGCCGTGACGTCACAAACCCGTGACGTCATTGAGACTTGGTGATCCTTTGGCCAGATCCAGAAACACTGGGATTTCGCATCTTCTTTCTGTTTGTCCATGGAAGAAGAGGGTATTTGTGTTATCATGGCTTCTGGCTGTGTTTTTGGCTACTATAATCTTACTGGTAACCCCCCTGGGATGAACCTGCACCAATTTCTGAAGGATTGTGCTTGGCACAGGCTGAGCAGTGCACCATAGCAGCTATCAAGCGACATAATTATTTGCTTGACAATTTAGGGACTACAATGTAAATCCTTCGCGTGTGTTCCAGCCATTTGGCAGAGGAGGATTTTCAGGAGGAATATTATGGCACTCATCCGATGCGGACGCTGGTGGATGAAACTGTGGTGCGTCCTTTTTCGCACGCCACACTGTGAAGTGTTAGTCGAAAAGCGGAGGTGAGTGCAATATTTCAAACACACTAGCTACTGTATGTAGTTCTTTCTTTTCCAAAGCATTTGTAGAATTGTTTTGGACTACATCACTACGAAATGTGAAGCTTTCCGAAACCGGCCTGATGAGGTGGACGGCAGTAGATCTCCTGTTTCCCTAGGCTATGCTGCGTGCGATCGATGAACCTGTCTGCGATTGCTGTTCTTGATTTTACAGGAAGAAGATCAAGAGCGGCTGTACCATCGGTCGCAGTGACTCACTGTTGAGCTACGACCACTGCCACCGCCCCAAGGTTATAGGAAGGACTGTTTGCAGCGCCAGCGCCTCTAGCTGGCATGTTTTTTTTCCTGTATGAACACACAGTATGTACTGCTGATAAGCTACATCACGCAATGACCCGCAGTTCAAGGAGAGAAGATAGTCCACATACCGGCAACGGTGTACACCTATTCGGGAACTCGTTGGGTTTTCTCAGTATGGATGCAGATGAGAGCCAGACATTATTATTATTGTGTGTATGCGTGCAAGCGCGTGAGTGTGTGTGTGCGCGCGCACGCGCGTGAGTGTGCGCGGACGAGCGTGAGTGTGCGTGCGCGCGCCCGTGAGTGTGTTTGCGCGCACGCGCGTGAGAGACAGACATTATTATTATTGTGTGTGGGGGTGCGCGCGTGTGTGAGTGTGTGTGCGCGCGCATGCGCGTGAGTGTGTGTGTGTGCGCGCACATGCGTGTGCTTTTGTGTAATGTAATATAACATTCCAAATATATTCCCGTCATCTATTCTGTGTTCTCCTTTATGTCATTCTCTCCCCATTTGCGGGAGGGACATGGAATGACAAGTAGTAGATGCATTTGCGTTAGTGATCCTGAGGGATGTGTGGGTATGCAACCAAGTGCATGAGTGCGCGCATGTGTGCGTGCACGAGCATGTGCACAGGCACTTGTATGCTTATGCACTCGTGTGCGCACGCGCTTGTGAAATTGCGTGTCTGCGTGCGTGAGCATGTGTGACTACTATACTATGTGCCCACCAAGGTGAGCACATGTGCGTGCGTGTGTGTGGGGCGCAGGCGGATATGTGCACACATTTTAGAATGATAATCAAGGACAGAGCTGTTCCGGTAATGCAGTCATGAGACACCACAGTAGGGCAAAACGCACTCAATATGCTACTGTGCTGCTGCTGCTGCTAGAGTGCACAGCGTAATTGTTGGTACACAGCTACGTGAAATACAAGAGAACGTCTCAGCATTCTGTAAAGACTAAGTGATAATGCAAAAGGTGAGAATGTATTTCGCCACAATACGAATTGAGTGCAGTCCACTTATGTGAGATAAAGCACAAGTGAACCGATACACATTGCACGACTTGCACGGAGATAATGCTAGCCATGTTACGCAGCAAACTCCATGTGCAGGAGTACGAGTGAGGAGACTATTGATCTGAATAATGTGCGAATACAAAATTTCACACAATTTACGATATGAAGAGAACGATTCGATTTGTGAGCATTACGTAGGACTATACTGTGAAAACACTTACGGATTGTCAGGGTTGTCTGAGCTGCTTTGGCTGCCGCTTCATTACGAAATAGCCCAGCCAACCGGTTGCCAGATGTTGCTGATGGAGAGCGACTTCTCCAATTGCAGTAATTTCTGCTTCATCCACATTTACAGCCCGATTGGAAGCCACCGCTTGCGCTGCCATATCCTTTCCTGAAAATTTCGGCTCATGCCCGAAGCCAAACATTTTCAGCTCAGGCTCTGAGCTTTCAAGCTCGTCTGATACGTCGGAATCGCTCATGGTGAGGACGTCTTTGTCAGAACTATTCCTTTCACATACGAAAATACCTGTACTTCTGAGCTTGGCCCAGGCAAGCAAGTCTCAATGACGTAGAAGGGTGTGTTGGGGGTGTGTCGCGGCCGCATGACGTCATGGCGCGTCCCCCGAAAGTACAATTTAAACCGAAGATATCTCAGGAACGCTTGGTCGGATCGAAGTGGGACCTTCACCATTCGACTCAGCGTCCAAAACTCTACGGACCATGAAGTTTTGATTTTTGGGTGTAGTTCCATTTTAAGTTAAGGGGGCGTTCGAATTGTCTTCAGCAACTGTTCGAACAATTTTTTTAAAGAGATTAGTTGAAATGTCCCATTAGAACGGTTTCTTTCATTTTAGAGTTTTAGTTGAATTGTCGATGACGTCCGATAAGATCGACCATCTCCACGCACTACGTGACGTAGCTTTTCCAAACCCTTCGGGAAAAAAGTCAAAGAATGACAATTTGAACAAGCCCTAAGTGAATAGCCATAAAAGAAAAGAATTCCTTCTGCTCATGCTACCCTGTCCGTGACCGTCTTTCCTAGCACCTCACTTCACTCCAACCATGTTTCTCTACGGACTATTCTCTACCAACCACCTCTTCCCTATTCCTACTTTTACATCTGTCATTGTGTTTCCTGTGTGTTCTATTGGCAATGTAGGTAATGGAAATTGTTCGACATGCCGCTGGGAAGAAGACTGCTGACCCTCACAACCGTCGTTTTCTTCAGGTAATAGAAAGCACAACATGTTATGAGTTATGACTAACTGTCCACCAGTCTAACCAGATAATTATACCATGAGCAAGTGTGACAAAGGGCACAAAACTGACCAGGAGTGCTTAGCTGAAAAACTGACAAGGAATGCTCAGATTCCCCTTCCTTTTTTTGGGTGGTCTGTTAATTTGCCTCGTTGGGTTGTAGTAAAACCGGTACGTCCAATTGTCTTATTAGTGAAGTCTTTATACAGTAACGTTCGGCATTCTTTGTTGCTGTGGGACAGAGCCCATGCTCATCTTCATTGCGCTTTCCTTCCCCTCTTTGGATATTTCCTTACCTGAGCCTCCCAAG